CCCACACGGCCCTGCCCCTCACGGCCCCACCCCTCACGGCCCAGCCCCACACTGCCCTGCCCCGCTCGGCACGGCCCCACACGGCACTGCCCGGCTGTGAAATGACCGGCGAAGGCATCGCGGCCACCCCGAGACCCAACAGCGCCGTGCCAGCTCCGGCTCCGACTGCCGCCGCCCGCCTTTCCTTAAATAGCTCCGAGGACAGAGGCGCCGCCGCCAGGACAAAATCCCAGAGCCAGGTTCCGTCTCAGCCAGGCTTTTATTGCTGTGCTTCAAACATAACTGTGCTAAGCAGTCCGATACAGAACAAAAGCTTTTCGGAAATAAAAGCATCACAGTACTCTCAAAAACAGCAGCGGACTTTTGGTCCCTGCCACCCAGGTTGGGACAGCCCAGCACGGCCACACACTAAGGGATGCCAGAGCTCTTGGTTCCCTAGTAGGCATCCAGCACCTGAGTTTCATATTTTACAACTCAAAGGTAGGAAGGTCATGTAAACATGAAAACAACAGAGACATTTCACACCTTCCAGGTCTCTGCATGAGATAAGGAGGGCATCAACTCCATTTCTACTAGCAGTTCCTGACACCCTCATGTCAGGGTCTAAAGAAGTCTAAAGACACACATGTACCCAGGAACATTTTTGCAGTTCCTCCTAGACATTAATCTTCAGCTTCTAGCTGTTCGATTTGTTGTAATAAGCCTCATTATTGATGCATCCAGTGCCTCAATGCATCCAGTAAATTAGTAATACACATTACTTTCCTGAGAAGCATCTTACAGGATTTTCATCTCTATTATTAGGAAATTTAGAAATAATTTTATCAATATCATTTTCCTGTAGCTGTGTTTTCATAAGCTGCTTCCACTGTTGTGGTGGTACTTCCTTTATAAAGACATCAAAGGTCTTGCTCAGTTCTGCAAGAGGAAACACACAGCACACATCATCCATCACTGGAATTTAAATCAGAGGGTTTGGTTTTTTTTTTCCATAGCTCCCATACATACTTTCCCCTTAATTTTCAGCCAATACCTGCACCTACCAAATAGCAGCAGGTTTTGGCACCTAAGAAGCACCAGGACAAACAGGTTTTCTGCTAAGTGATCTTGAAAGTAGCTAAAGTGCACATCTCAGAAGTGGTCTCCTAAGGCAGGACACCACCCAGTAAAGGTGGTTTTGAGGAAGGCTTCACTGACTGGCATGTTCCCTTGGCAGGGCTACTGAAGAGGAAACTTTAACCACTTCACTAGGCTGCTATCATAGGTTTGCCACATCAAGACCACCACAAGCAAAACCCATTGCTTGGACATCCAGCACAATTTGCTGGGTACAGGTGGATGTATGGAGATTTGATGTACTCTTCCAGGTGAGGGGACATTTGACAGAGAGATCTCTCACTCTGACTTACACCTCACTGAGTAAAAGAGAGTACACTGCTGCAATGCAGACTCATTTTAAAACATGTTTCAGAAATCTGTCCCATTCTTATTCTTAGAATCATGTCTGCACTATACTCCCATGCAGAAAAGTCATGCTCCAAAGTAGAAGAGTTAACCACAGGGATTACAAATGCAGCAATAATCCTGTTTCAGCAAATTTTACAGTAAACTGGAAGCCTTATAGCTCTAACCAATAATCATTAGCCTCTTTATACTACTCCTTAAGTAGACTAAAGTCAAGAGGAAAAAAACCGAATTCTGAGTACTGGCAATTTATTACTTACCACTTTGAGAGAGATCTTTAACAATTATCTCATTTAATTCTTGTACCTGTAATACAAAGTTGAACGATTACTCCAACAAATCAGGGTGCTTCACTCACTATTATTTTTCTACCTGCTTGACAGCTTGCTTTTACAGCACACACAGCAAAAAGGGGAAGGGGAGCAGATTTCAGAGCAGAAAAGTACTGGGGTACAGAAAATTGCAGGTGACACAAAGGTGCTACTTGGCTCCAAGGCAACATTCTCTGCTATAGCAAAAGAGTAGCTTCTGCTGGGGAGATGAATGAGGCAGAGTAAATTAAATGGAGAATTGAAGTTTTTTTCCCCCCAAGCTATCACTTCCCATACTTCCTATTACATCTTTAAGGCAAAGTTTCCTCTATTGTTTTGCCTGAAAGCTCTAGGACTAGTTAAGAGCTCAGCTAAAGGGACACCTATATTAGAGAAAATGCAATGATAATTTCACACACGTACACTTATCTTACAATTTGCTGGAGTTCCACTTGGAACATTAGATACGACATTCTGCTGAAAAGCAGAATTCTGGACAGGTTTTCCTGACAGTGAGGACTTAGCAATCCTCCTCAACCACACTGCCATATGGCACTTCCAGTTCCTACACAGGATAGCACCCGGCTCAGAAACCACACTACTTTCTGCTATTTTCTTCTGTGGGAAGAAAAGGAGATACTTGAAGTCACCAAGTATCAGGGAAACAAAAGGACAGCTGAAAATTTGGCAAAGTTACAGCCTTTACAGAATTACACTTCAAATGGTTTCAGAGCCTGACTCTTCACCTCCCTGGCTGTTCTGAATGCACTGGAATAGATGCAGGGTAAGGCTCACAAGTTACCTCCACAACCACCACAGGAAACTTTTCCTGATGTTCTTACTAATGTGGATTGCTGCTTTTTCCTCTCTAGGTACAGGAGGTAGGCACCCCTCTTAGAACAGGAGGGAATTAAATTGCCTTGCTGCGCCTGAGCTGCTTTAACAGCACCAGGGACTTCAAGCCTATTGCTGTGTCAAGACTGATGCTCAGAACTGATGCCCAGTAGCCTGTCAGCTCTGTGGAAGTGCACTACCTTGGGCTGGCTGTGGCTGGATTAGCTTTCCTAGCAGATTCACAAACTATAATCAGTTGAAAGAAGCCAGTGAGCACCCGTGTCCATTGCATAGCTTTTGTGAGGGGAAGCCAGTAAGAAAGGCTCCCTTCCTTTCTTGCATTGTCAATTCATTAAACAAGCATAGCCAGGGAGCACAGCACCAGCTGCTCAGCATGAACAATACAAGCACAAAGCAGAGAAGCACGTCCAGCATGACAGGTAGTGCTAAAGCTGGCAAGCTTTAGGAATAGCTTGTTAGATGTAGAAAATGAGGATAAGGAATAACTGTTCTGCCCAAGACTAGTGTTTATTAAGGTGCAGTGTCCTTGTGCGTATAAGCCAGAGTTCTTTCTGCTTGCACAGGGTCAGTGACCCACAGGTGAGACCACAATGTGGCCAACATGCATAGGCAGGGATGTGAGGGGGAACCACCCCACATATCACACATGCAGTTGTACATCATTCTCAGTGAAAACACTTTATATTTAAGAGTATAAACACATTGAAGACATTAATCTTTTTATATAGGATAATTCTTAAATAGGAATCCACATGACTGAAAGAGCACAGCATGGCTGACACTTTTGTTTCAAAATCCAGCATCAGCTATTCAATTATCAGCAGTTGTTGGGGCATTGGAGCAGTATGAATTCACTGGTTCTTTGGAAGGGAAAGTGTGTAGGTGCCAAAATACTCGGTCTCAGGACTGCATCAGTATAACTCTGCTTAGCAAACAAGCTCCTACAGCAGCATGAGCATTCCAAGTGCAGACTTTGCATCTGCCTGTGACACCTCTTACATGAGAGACAAGTGGCACCATGCACCAATTTGTAACTGCATCATTCTACAACCATTTTATTCAAATTAAAGAGATATATTTGCCTATTCCTATGCTACAGCATTTTGACCATTTTTTTTTTCATGTTTCTTCATCAGCTTCTACAAGTGGATGAAGTGCTGCAAATCTGGCCAGGGCGTGAGAGGAGACTCAACCCAACAAAAAACGTGGGGTGTTTCACATATTTGAGCCTCTTATGGACCTTAAGAAAGAAAAAGAACAGAGTTTAAGGTGAGCCTTTGAACAGCTCTTTCAATTCTGTTTCTTCAGTCTTCAAGTATTTTTGACATAAATAATTTGAGCATTTAATTACTCAAAATATCTAATTAATTACATTAGAAAAGAATGCACACACTGGGTGGGCAATGCATTGGTGAGGGACAAGAGAAGCTCCAGGGAGAAAGAAGTGCTGCATACACACTGTGAGAACAGCCTAGGTATTTTCCGTAGCTCCTCATCAAGACTAACATTTGTTGTGTGAAACTAAGACTTGAGTTCATTTTTGCCTTGTGGTGCTGGTAGGGATGTAGCTTCTAACTAGAGAAGCTAAAGCCAGCTTGTATTTACTTTTTCCAGTTTTGTATTTCTATCTTGCAGAATGCTAGACTAGCAATAGGTTTTTTCAGACTCAAACAGTAGGGTTCTGAAATAGTGTTTGACTACAGGATACTAGGGTGTATCAAGTTTCAAGTTGAAACGTATGACAGTAGCCATTCTCTGCTGGATAAGCCTTTTGTAGGGATGTACTTTGGGACTGGTATGCTCTCAGCCCAGAACCCCTCCTCTTTAGGGACTGCTTACAACTAAGAATTCAGACTGTCAGGTCCTGGTCTGGAGCTTGTGTCATGAGCCCAAAGGCAGGTAGACTCAATCACTACTGGATTAGGAGTGGTTAAGTCTTGTGAACAAATAATTTGAAGTCAACAATGCAATGAGAGCTCGAATACCACCATACAGGTAAACAGTAGCTGCCATCACTTGTGGAATACACATCTGAAGCAGCAAAGAGGAAATTAAATGGATCAAAGTATCACTTGGAGACAGTCTGAAGCAAAAACTTGCAGCTACTCCAAGTTTTTTCCCCCACTTCCAAAGCATCCTTGTCACAGGCTCTGAAATGTTTCCAAGTATTAACAAGGCCAACTGCAGCAGACACATGCAGTTACTGAATGCATCAGGCACTTGTGAATTAATATCTGATCTTGTATGAATCACGACTTATTGCATCACAGGAACACATCCTACCAGATATCTACAATGAGACAAACATTGAGGGCTATGGATCAAGGTACAATGAGGCTGTGAACAATTAGACTGAGATGGAACGCTTGATTCATCACATACTTACCAGACCTCCCTCTGCATCTTCACCAGTTGAGGCAGCTGAAAACCAAAATCAGTGTTTAAGAAACTTACAAGAATTGCAGCAACTTAAAGATGGCTGAATTCACACAAGACTTATATGCAATAGAAAATTTTGTAACACAGCCAAATCTTTTAAAAGCCATTTAGTTTCTTTGACCTGTCATACATTTCACCCTTATCTTCCACCAACAGCACAACACTGTGCCTTAATACAGAGAAGAGTCCTGCCTAGTAAAATGCAGACCACAAGATGTTGTTTGGCTTTTAAGCCATTCTTGCAACCTCCTCTATGCCAGCTTTTTTTTCTCAGCATTTTCATAGGCTATTGAAATACAGAAGAACAGGCAGAAATCTTTACTGCAGTACAATCAGTAAGACATGATTTGAACAAACTTAGCATTTAAAATTCAGAATAATTTTCAATATTATTTTAAACAAACAAGTAGCAAAAATACTTTCATGCACAATGCTGGAAATAGAAGTTTCCAAGGAAAACAGCTCAGTTTCCGCTAAAAAATAAATTCATACAGGACTTATCAGCCTAACATTCACTTAAGAGGTTCAAGTGACTAAAGGGTACCAATCTGTAGAAAAAAAAATCTCCACAGCCAAACACAGTGAAAGTAATTAGTGATCTAATTAGTTGCTACTTTTCGCCCCATGCATCTGAATCCACACACAGGTTTTTCCTCTTTGCCAATACGAGGCAAGCAGATTGGAGAAGTCCTTTATAAGGACCTTACAACAATCTTGCTTTGAAGCAGAGGCATCTGTCAGCAAGATAAGAAAGTTCATAGTTAAGGATTATGAATCATGCATTTTATTTACCAAATTAAATTCTTCATTTCACAGGACTTCCTAACTTCAATCACACGCTAAATGAACTAAAGCTTAAACAGGTCCCCTGAAAGGCAACACAAGAACCAGGGATAGCCCCTAGTGCATGCTGTGCCTAACCCTGGAAAGCAAATTTCATGGATAATAAGCAAGTAGTTACCTTTATTACACTTCAGCTTTATAATAACAGCAATTAGCAGAACCAAACCAAACAGAAACACCAGAATAACCCAAACAAGAGCTCCCTGCCCTGAAAAGTAAGAAAAAAAAAAATTAGTACTGAAACACTCCCCCAAAAAGTGATTCCTTGCTGTCCTAGAGAAAAAAAATATAAGCCCAGAACTAATACAACAACCCAGATAGCTTGTCCTGGAAAAGGCACTGGGACTCTCAGCTGCCCTGAACATGTGAGTACTTGTTTGCACTGTGCATCATGTACACACGCTCCCAAAGGCAACGGGGACTTGCAGAGAGATGCAATACAGCTACAGGGTTTTCTGGAGAGACACTTAAGGGGAAACAAGTATGCAAAAGATGATAGCAAGCTTTGGGTGCTGTAACATGGACAGTGTGTGTTCCTGGCAGAAGAAGCTACTCCAGGCACAGTAAACATATTTGCACTATCTATAACTTTCAAGTGTGTCACCCTTGCAGCTTGAAGAACCAGGCAATACAGGTAGCTTTTCACCAAGTGAAACACAAGGTGGTCTATCCTTTCAATCCCTTTGAGAACTTGTCTCTACCAAGTAACTCCCAGACCAAAATGCAGCTGCTGTTAAATATGATGCAGTAGTTGAAACCACTGTTTTACAGACAGCTCTAGTGTTATTAGCTTGAAGCCACAGACCCAAAAACCAAGCTGAGTGGGATTTGTATACTACACCTTGATTGGGCAAGCTTGGGTCTGTAGCATCAGTGGAATTCAGCACAACCTCTTTCCCGTCCGGGTGCCTGAAATGGGTGATAACACAAAGCTGTACCAACACTTCCAGAGCAATACATAGCTCTGTCCAGGCCTGATTATTTTTCAAACAGAGCTTAAAACCATGAATGGAACATGCGTAAACATGCATCAACTTTGATAGAAGTGCACTTTTAAACAATCTAAGATAAGACTACAAGATTAAATAAAAGCAAAGCAGATGAAATTAATGTGTGTTAGCTTCTAAGTGGAGGGGGAAAAGTAAAAAACCACCAAGTGCAGGCATTATTTGTGTAGTTAGTTTAGTTCTACATCCTGAGATTTTGAGCTGGGTGCCAGAAAGTTCATTCAAGTGTGTTTCTGGGGAAATACCAACCTGAATACATGAAAAATGCAAGTTTACAGCCATAAGCAACAAGCACAATGACACGCAAATCAACATCTTTCTAGGTCTCAGCATCACAGGTTTTGACATTCAAAATGTAAATGCATGAATAATGCCATTGGCTTCAGGGCAATTAATTACAGCCTGATGACATGTGTTAGCTATTGGCACAGATTGGGCCCGAGCTCTAACATTTCCCAGAAGGAAAATAGTACTTATTCTAAAACTTACATTTCACTGTTTCTCTGACATCTTTCACAGCCCTCATCAGCACAGAAATACCCTTGTTTGCACTGGCATTCAGCATTCTGTGTCTGAGTACAGGATCTCAGTGTTATCTGATCTAAAAAGAAAATATAAGTTAGCGAGTGCAAAAATTATACACAGGCCATAAAGGCAATTTACTTTTAAGTTCAATATGCTCAATGAAGACCAGGCTTTTCCATATCAAAAAAGGGAAAATGGTTAATGTTTCATAAGGTTTGGTACCCTCTTTGCACTGTCTGCAAGGCAAGCATTCCTCCAAGCTGTTCGCATGAGGAGTAAACTCTTTTCCTTCTTTGCAAGGGTCACATTTTCCTCTCAAATGTGAAGCATTGCAGTGATCAGCAACAAAAGTACCTGTGGAAGAAGAGAACTGGCAGCAGCAATCTCAGGGGATCTTTTGACAAAATGCTAAGCCAGGATATCACAACACAAATTTCTGGGGAGTTCAACCCTTCCTTGCATGCCACACAAATTGAGCAGCACAGGAGAGTCAGGAGGCACATTTCCAAGGATGAGACAATTGCAGCAGGTCAGGGAGCCATGTAGACACACCACTGCTAAGGAATGGGGCAAGCTCAGGGAGAATTACTTTCAATAAACTTTTTTTCTCCCATCTAAAAGCACCAATAAGTTTCTGATACTAAGAAGAGGTTTTGTCTTGGTACAAAACTTGTTAAATCTGCACGCATTGTGCAAGGAGGGGAGAGCAAAACCATACTGAAGTTTTGCCTATGGACACAGAAATATCAGATTTCCCCCTAATGCCATCCTTTATATTAACTAAATTACCTCAAACACAAGCAGAGGCTTCCTGGCTTGATGCCAAAGCACCTCACCCAGTCATTTGCTGTTGCATTAAGGGGCTCTCACTTGAAAATAGAGCCTGCCTTTAGTGCACTAAGAAGTCATCACAGCTTCAACCAGGCTTAGACTTTCACTAGATGCAATCTAAGAAACAAGAGCTATCAGCTGTAACTGCTCAAAGTCTTACCTGCTTCACAAAATACACAGCAGAGACCTTGATGGGAGTACTCTGTCTCACCACAGTTCGCTTGGGCTCCAGGCATCGTCAGTAGCATAACCTATAGCAAACAGGCAGCTAGAGTGATTCATCCTCCCAGGACATGATAACTATCTTGGGGATTAACTTGTAAAGACTTGGAAACACATTCAGAAGTTTATGGGAAGCCACAGAGGAAACCCAACCTAATTTCTGCTAAGTGCTGCTCACTTAGTTGTCAGCAGTAATTGCCAACACAAAGCTGGGGTTAAGGCAGCACCATGCAGCGGCTAATGGGTTTCAGGCAACTATTGCTAAACATTCCTGCCTCCATATAAACTTCAATTTTCTCTCCACTAGCTCACTGCACTTGAACTTCAGACACCAAGGTTTCTGCGTTGTGCATTTCTCCCTTCCCCCATCTTTTTAATTCATCGGAATCAGTGCTAATCTTGCTCATGCAAACTCGAGGAAACTCCCTCTCATCCAACACGTCTCCCACCTCCAATCTGAGCCTAGTGAAAAGTTGAGTCATTAACAATGCGGGGGAGCACTGGGTATGATTTTTTTTCTTTTCTGTTTTCTCTTTTCAGGAGGAAGAACCGTGCAGGCCGTGCACTCCTCGGCAGAGCTCCCGTGCCAGCGACAGGTGCCTCTAAAGAGTGCAAGCTCGGTGCTGGTACACCTGAGTCACACCCCTCACGAGACATACAAAAGAAACCTCTAGAACAAAAGCAGGAGGAGGGGAAGAGGGGGCCGCCGAGCTCCCCGTCACTGATTGCCACCAGTGGGTAACTTCTAAGCTAAAACCAAGAGGATCCTGCCTTTTCAACTCTTTCCGCGATAGACTCAATGTCTTCCTTGTAACTGTGGAGAGCCGAGAAAGCTTCTAATTTCACAGTTAAATAGCACAAAGACCATTAACTTGTAAATTTTTTTTTTTTTTTTTCCGGAGGAGAAAAGGAAGGGCGACAGTGAGTGCATTAGGGAGGGATGCGGAGGCCCGCTCCCTGCTGCCATTCCCTGAGGGCTCGGGGTTCACGACAGCGCAGGAAATTCCCCGAGACACCAAACACGAACAAAAAGTTCGGCAAAGTTACTAAAATCTCTTGAAGAAGAAAAGGATAGAAAAACCCACAAGGCTCCTTCATGCTAGAGCTAGAGGAAGACTTTTTTCCCCTGAAAATAGAGGATTTGGGCTCTGTCTGGGCGGCGGGCAGGAGGAGGACGAGCCCCTGCCAGGGTCCCACCCGGCACTCACCGGCAGCAGCAGCAGTTCCAGCGCTCGCCCGGCTCCCATGACGGCGCCCATCGCTTTGGCTGCCCCAGCTGAGCCACGCTTTTATCCCCGCGGGTGGGGCTGTGCGCACCGGAGGCGGCGCCCTCCCCGCCCTCCCGTCCCACTGTGGGATGCACAAAACCCGCCTCAGAAAATAGCCTTATTTGTTTCCCCTAAACCTCGGGCGCTGAAGGGCTGCTCACCCTGTTCACAAAGAGGAGAGTGAAAGGCTGTAAGGAGAACTTTTCCAACACTGAGCAAACGAAGTGCGTATAACCGGATGTTCTAAAGCCTTAAAAGGGTTCCCACGTTTCTCCTCAGCAGTTGTTCCTCCTAGAGAAACAACGTTTCTGGCCATGATTTTCCTCAAGAATACTTTTCATTTCCCACGTGCGTGTATCTGGAATGTAGGAACGTTCACCTCCAGAAATTGGATTAAAATTAATGGCACAAGGATTCATAGGCTGCTCCTTTTTGGATTATTGTTTAACCTCTGTGGCAGCAGCCCTAAATGTTGGAAAGTCTTCCTCTGCTGACTCTTAACTAGTTTGTGAATGTTGCTACTTTCTCTCACTGAACTGCTGCTCTTATGTAACTGTTTATTTTATCAGCTGCAAGTCCTAGTGAAAATTCCTGTGGCTCTGTAGCTTGGTAAAACTGAAATAATCCAAACAATTTCCAGCACTCACACTGAGAACAACTGAAGCCTTCCTGCTCAGCCCTGCTCCTCTTTGGTTCAGGGGAGCTTGGGTTGTTTGAATTTTCTTCTGTTGTTGTTTGGTACCCATTTCCCAAAGCCAGGATACAGATGTACCCAAGGCATGTAAAATAGCCCTACAGAAATGGAGAGGCTCCTCTCAGTAACTCAAATACATGTCCCAAAGCAGGATGAGTGTGATGAGGAAGGCTGTGCTGGCAGGCCAGAGATGTGCTGATTTGCTGAAGTATTCAAAGGAGATATGTTTCCACAGTGGATATGTTCATACAGTTATACATCCTAACACTTGGATGTATCCCAACCAGGAGCACTTTGAAGCCACATATTTCTGGCAGGCAGAAGCAACTCCCCCTCACCGAGTTTTACACTGTGTAGCACAGGTCAGACTTCCTCAGAAAGTGTAAGTCTGGATGTAAGAAAGAGTAAGGACCAGGATGACGTCCTTCAAAAAGGCACCTAATCTGGATCAGTAATGTTGATATTCTTCAAGGATGTTTCCTCAAGGGTGAAGAATATTTTGGTTTTCTGGAGACTTTTGCCAATAACAAAGCCACTCCCACCCATTACTATTTGTGATAAGTTTTCTGAAAGTCAGCTTCCAGATGTTGGCTCTTACCCTGCCTGTTCATATCAGAGAGCTGAAGTTCTCTCTGTGGAACAGTCTGCTCACTATCCTCAAGTCTTTGATATAAAGGTTTCCTAAGTTCAAGACAAATTTGTACATTTCCACGTTCAACAGTGAAAATCAAAGGAACCATTTCTCTTTCTGTGGAAGTTGCTACAATTAGAAGACAATTTCAGACAATTTCTGACAATTTCAGCCAGAGGGGTATAAAACTGCTATTGCTGTTCTAACCTATGACCTAGGTCTGACATCCTTGGAGGCAATTTCCTGTTGATTTTCCTCTAAAAAGTGATTCACTTGTAAAATACAAGTATCAAATGCAAAGTATATCAAACACAAACCCCAAAATAATTTGTCAGATAGACTGCCACTGAAAGTTGTGTGTAGTTTTATTTCAACATATCAAGCACAAACAGGTTTCCCCTAACTGGGGAATATGACAAGGAATGTACTTAAAAATTTGGAAACATTTACATTGAAAGATAGCCCAGAATGGCACCACCACTAAGTATTTTAAGGCTGTATATATAGCAGAACTTACCACTTGGAACTACTTCAGGCCAGAAAAGAAAGGCTTAGTATTGTCTGCAGTCTACAGAAAATATTGCAAATCTTTAAAAAATGGTGTAAAATAGGAAGACTATTAACAGGGTTGAACAATGCAGTGTCAAAACTCTCCCTTTCCTGACCTTTGACTATAAATGTGCCTAAGACCGAAAACATGTACACCTACATCGCTCCCATCCTTCTCACCTATGCTGGGGCAGTGGATCTCTCTCTACAATGCTAGTGTGTGGTATTATAAAACAGCCATATAGCAAATAATAACAATAATAGTAAGTGACCATGTTTTACAAACAGGCGTGCGTGTCTAGCATCACACTCGATGGGCTAGACCCAGGACACCAGTCAGCTCCGTAACCAGGTGAGGAGCTTTCACTGAATACTTCCCATTTCCTAAAGAAGAATGGCTCTAGGAAATTGTGTATATTTACAGTTTCTGAGGAATGGAAAATAAAACACATCCTGAGGTCCCATTCTGCGTGGGCTGACTAAACAGATCATGACTTAATATCCTGGGGCTGGATTTTTTGGACCAAGTGTTCTCCCTCCTGTAATTAAAGGCAGCCGGACAGGCACCGTGGACATCAGTTCTTTGCAGCTCCTCAGCTGCTCTCCCTCACTCCTGGAGCTATAACCCAAGCCACCGTGGCTTTTCCAAAATGTTGAGGTGATTACCATTTTGGGGTTACCAATACTGCTGGGTAATTATTAATTGCATCAGAAAATGACAAAACATAGAAAACAAATTGCACAATTAAAGCTACATTTGGCTTCAGCATTAAGGCCCATACAGGTTAAGAGGTCCTTGAAGATGTACATGAAAAAGGCAAAAATTACGTAATCTGCAGGAACAAAGTTTTGCAGGTTCCTAGGTCCCTTTTTAACCTCGTTTTTCCACTTCCTTCCACCTCTGCCATGTTGGTTCTAAAGTGCTTTGGTGCCTCGCTGGGCTCCTTGCGTGAGTGGCCCCCTCCTGCAGCCAGTGATCATTATTGCTGCCAAACGTAGTGATTTTATTTGAAGACGTAATTAATGAAGAGTTGACACGTAAGAAAGATGCAAAGGAGAAACCAACAGCGAGAGTCCAGGAGGAAGCTTTCAGAAGAGGCCTTCCTGTGGAAGGACTTTTTGTTCAGAGCACTGAGGTTTCTGCAAAAGAAAGCAATATGATTATTTGTGTGTTGGAGAGAGGTGTGCCTTCACACATGTGTGCCCAGAATTTCCACACCAGGAGGGACCCCTGTAATTTGTTGACACCCTCAGGGGCAGAGCAGTATGCCTCCACAGATTTTACCTCCCTCTTTTTAACAGGAAGATCAGTGTTTCTGGCTGCAGCTGGTTGGCATGGGAAGGGAACAAACCACAAGGAATCTCTTCATCCAGCACCCACTCATAACCCTGTGAGTTTAACCTACTCCCTAACCTTCCCAAATGCAAGGCCTGTCCTGGACACCCCCAGGAGCTGCAGGGATGCTAAATCACCAGTGACTCTGGCATCCAGAGATGGTAGGCCTCATGTGATCCCACCTCACTGAAGCCTTGGGAGGGCTGGATAACACTTCTCACCCAGAGAGGAATCAGCAGGGCTCCCTGGATCAGAACTAGCAGCTCATACCTCCCCACAGAAGTCTGAAGGGCAAAGCCCTCTGTCAGCAGCAGGTGTGGTTACTGCTTCCCTCAGATGGCAACCAGCCATTTGTACAAAAACAGGAGTTTAGTGATTTTCATCATGGAGCCCAGTTTTTCGGGCCACATCCCTGCATCTCCATAGCAAACAGGAAATTCCCAACATGATCAACAAGAAGAGACACCTCACACATTCTTGCCTGGCAGAGATTTATTTTAGCCAGGGCGTGGATCAGCCCTTTTCGGGACCTTGAGTTGTGGAACATGCTGAGGTGATGCTTTTTGCCTACAAAGGCAGCGTTAAGAGGAAGAGATTTCCTCCTCACTCTTTCAAGCAGAGTGTGGGTTTGTATTTCTGGTGTGTTAACTGGTTACTTTATCTACAACAACTTGTACTGCACTCCTGCAGCTCACAGAGACATTCCAAAGACCACAGTAAGGAATTAAATGCACAAGTTATCTTTAGCCTGTTAAAATCATTGATTCATGTCAGAAAATGGTTACCTGTGTATGTCCTGTTGGGCTTTCTGTAGGGATAAGACAGCTGAGTGAATTTCCTTCAGGTGATTCATTTCTTTTCCACACTGAGTGCACAGGCTTTCAAACCCTGTGGCAAAGTATTGAAGGACAATTATGTTTTGCATCACCATTCTGGTGATGAAACACAACACAGCAAGTGGGTAGCCATGATCTAATTGTCACTACTAGGGGGGACACTCTCAGAAGGAAACATGGGGAGAAGGAAAGATCTAATTGTCACTACTAGGGGGGACACTCTCAGAAGGAAACATGGGGAGAAGGAAACAGGAAACAGAATCTTTCACCCAAAAGACCCAGGCCACTGTAACTGGCCTGTCTGTGACTCTGGCTCAGGGTGTTTCTTGGTCAGCTCTAAGGAAATAATGCTCCTCAGCTGAGGGGAGGAGAAAGAAGCACTCACACCTGCCCTTTCTCACACACATTCAAGGTCATCTCTAACAAAGGCAGAGAAAAGAGAGAGAAACACAGCCCGTTTCCTATTTGTTGATTGGAATGACAGTGTTTTTTTCCAATTTTTCCAGGAGTTGGGAAGTCCTTGTTGTAAAGCAGAAAGAGAAATAGCACATACAGAGAACAGAAAAGCAGAACATTCTCTGTGCTGCCTGTGGGCTGTTAGCCCACAGTATTAAGTGGGCCAGGAAATGTCCCAGGGCTGGCTCAAGAATTAAAGTACCAAGGGAATAACATTAAAGCCTAACCCAGTGACACCCAAATACTTGCCATCATCATCTGAGAGCTCCTGCACTGACTCTGGAGTTGAACAGCTGCTCTCTGTGTTCTGGCTGTGGTTGGACGGCTGATCACTGGTTTTGCGGCGCCGGCAGTCTTTGGCAGACCTCTGGATAAAACAGAGATTAGAAATGACAGTCTCTATCACACTGAAGACGTGTGTGTTTGCTTTAAACAATTTGGGGTGCTGGGAAATATGTGTGAGATTGTGAAGTTTGATTGCTTTCTCAGTAATTCCTAATAGCTGGACTCTGGCAGCTACTTAAGGATATTATACACATGCCTCATACAGAAGCATCTCCCCAAATGACAACTTTCTTAAGACATCTATCCAAATTATTCTTCTTGTAGCTTTAACTGACACATACTATGGGTGAATCTTATAGTTCCTTTGCTGAGTTGTGTACCCAACTCAGCGAGGTACATAAGAGAAAGTTGAAAAAGAAGAAAAAATCGGAATCAAATTAACCAGCAAAGATTTTTCAGAAGGTGCATGAAGGATCTAAACATTTCAGAATTTTTATGCCTAGTTCCTTGATGCATTTTGGCAAGTTTCTCCCCCTCTCTCAGACGAGTAAACCAAATACATTGATTCAAACTTCTCACTACAGGGTCTGAAAAGCAATGAACCTCAACTTCCCCACTAAATCAGAGACATTCAGATGTGGAGTATTATAAAAGAAAAGTCTATGTACATAATAAGATACAAGTTTTTCAGTGTAATATGGGTTATACTTCTCTAATTTAGCAGCTCTACATTTGCAAAATGTGTTATGAATGACATGTATTGCTCCAGAGATAAAAGCACTGAAATAGGGGAGTATAATCTCTGTTTAAGGGAAAGGATGGAAAGATGTTTCTTGTCTTATCTGAGAGAGAGGGAGTGATAAAGGCTGATGGCAAAGGCTGAAACTGAAGTCAGGGGATCTGGGTTGTGTGCTCCAAAACCTATGGGAAGTTTTCTGCTTTGGAAACACTGAACAGTGAAGTTCAACTCAGTCATGCACAAAAATTCAGTGTAAGAGCCACTGTCACTAACAGTGGAAGAAAAATGCCAAAATTGATAGAATGAGTCAATCAGTAATTACAATTCTTTGGAGCTAATGATGGTATAATACTGCAGGTCTACGCTCACAAGCTGTATTTACCCAAGACAAAACTTTCAGCCTATGCTGTGCTTACATGAAAATGCTGTAGAAAAAGGGCTGTGTATCAAAACAATCATGAAGTATTACAGTCCCCAAAACAGGCTTTTTACCTTGTGCCGTGTGATTTGATTGTTTATGCATGTTGCTTTGTGGTTTGACATCCTTGTGGATAAGTGTCTTTCCATTGTCTGAAGTATTCCATCTTTCTCAAATTGAGCAATGTCGTTCAAAGGATCCCAAGGTCTTAGACTTTTGAGACCAAATGAAAAAAATTCATCAGCAAAGCAAGAATCCCACATTGGGTGTGTTAAGCCCAATACACTAATTCCACATGCATCAGGGCAGGCAATCATTCCTGACAGTAGCTAGACTTTCCAGATGCAATGACAGGACTAATTGATAGTTCCCTGCACATTCACAGTTCCTTGAAATAGGTGAGGGGGTTCAGTCTCTAGAGGCTTTGCCCTTCTTGCCCAGGGGAGGAGAGCACAGTAAACTGCTCTGAACAGTGCAGAAAATCTCTGCTAAATGATTCTGCACTTGATTATAGCAACAGGAATTTACATCAATGGCATAGTGGATTTTCCATTTCCAAGCCCTCATTTCCAGCTATTCCCAATTAGTATCATGAATATGTAATCTAGTGATGACATGGAGATCAGAA